CCTCTGCCAGTTTAAGATTACTTTATTTGCTTGCCTAGAGTGGGCACATTCAAGTTTTAGGTTTCCTTCCCTTTCCCTTTCCTCTCGTATATATTCTCTCCTTAGTGTATGACCCATGTCCAATAATTACTGCATTTGTTTTAGGGCAGTAATCCACATATGAGGGAGAACATGGGATTTTTGGCCTTCTGAGCCTGGCTAACTTTGGTTAAGATGATGTTCTCTAGCTCCATCCATTTACTGTTGAGAATGACAAAATTTCATTCTTTTTTGTGGCTGAGTAAAATTCCATTGTGTATAAATACCACATTTTCTTAATCTATTCGTTGATAGTGTGTGCCCCATAGATTTTGATTAAAAAAACCCACGTTTTATACTAAAACCTGATGTTTATAAGAATATTTCAATTGGACTGAATTGCCTTGAAACTTTGAAGCTTAAATACCTTCAGTTAGGATTTGAGTTCCCCATTTATCACAAGCCCTACCACTTCCTGCGTATTCCACTCAGCCAGCTGTAGCCCATGACCTCTTATGTAACTTAAATGACATTACTTTTTTCTTTTTGTGGTCCTGGGGATTGAGGCCTTGCTCATGCTTGACAAGCATTTTACCATTGAGCTACATCCCTAGTACCTCTAGTGTATTGTAAACATTTGTCTGGCACTTGAACATTTGTACATGCAAGCCCAATTCTAATTGTTTTGATATTCATCTGATGCAAAAGCTATGAATTTTTTTTTTGATGGGTCTGTGGTTTGAACTCAGGGCTTCATGGTTGCAAAGCAGGTGCTCTACCACTTGAACCAAACCTCCAGTGCATTTTTCTCTGGTTATTTTGGAGATGGGAGTCTCTTGGACTATTTGCCTGGGCTGGCCTCTAACCATGATCCTCCCAACATCAGCCTCCCAGGTAGCTAGGATTATAGGCTTGAACCATTGGCTCCTGGCTCCCATTAAATTCTTTAAAGTTTTTTTTTTATTGTGTTACTTTGTATACTTTATATTTCTTGCTTTATATTTTCCTTTTTTTTTTTTCCTTTGGTGGAACTGGGGTTTGAACTCAGGACCTCATGCTTGCTAGGCAGCTGCTTTACCACTGCTGCCAGCCCTCTTGCTTTATGTTTTGATGAGAGAATGTGCCTTACAAATCCTAGCCTATAAATCTTTTAATGGAAAAATGTGGCCTCAAACTTAGTGGAATTTATTAAGTTCTCTTTAGGTAAAGTATAAATGAGATATATGTCTGCTAACATTAAAGAATGTATGATTAAGTAGAAATGTATGAATAGTGATTTTCACTGTGTGCTTCAGTCTTTATGAAAAACCAGTAAGAATCTGAACAATCTTGTATTTTTATTTGCTTGGTTGAACAAGATAATGGATGAAGAAAGGTACTTATTAGGCTGTTCATTTTGGTTATCTCAGAAGTGTGGAATTGGAGGAAAGGTGGGTTTCACTTTTTAAAAGGAAAAGGTATTTTAAATTTTAAAAAATTGTAAAACAAAGATGAATATGTAAAACATATATGTATAGTTTAGAAATAAATAAGGAAGTGAATATCAGTATCTCCATTCAGTTAAGATGAAGCATTCTGCATGTTCCTTTTTAAGTACATCTCCTCAGAATAGCTACTATTCTAACTTTTACATGAGTAGTTTCTTCACTCATCTTTAGTTTTTCATGTATGCAGTAAAGCTATTCAAGTTTCCTACAAGTGTAAAGAAAGGCTGTGCCTCCAGATGTCCTGAGATTTTAGTTCTTTCTGAGGGAGTCACTGGGAAAAGTTACGTGTGACATCGAGCTCCCAGTAGTTAGGGCATCTGGCTCTAGCAGTTCTGTTACTGAACATTTGACAGAACTGGGACCAGTAGAGGAGTAGATTGCTCTATAATCTTCCTTTCTAAGCTTACCATGGTCTATTTTTCTCAGAAATATGTTAAAGTAAGAATGCTTCTATAGAATGACATGAGTGCCACTAGCTTATCCTAGGTGTAGCACGATGTGGAGAGAAGGAGAGGAAATTCATCTACTCAAGATCAAATCAAGGCAAATACAGGTAAAAGTGAAGTCATGTTCACATGGATGTTCTGCCAGACACACAGAAACGCAGGTGTAGTAGCAGCAGGAGTCTTAGTACAGGCTGCCCTTTTAGGTCTGTTGAGTACTTGCTGCCTTCCTGTCCATGGGTGCCATCCAGGGACCTTCATTCATCATTCTCCTTGGAACTCTTTTTGATCTTTTGTGTAAGACTTTTTCTTTACTCCTCTCAGTTTCATTTCTTTCTGAGTTTGTTTTTTTATAGTGAATATCTTCAAGTATCTATGAAAATGAATATTTTGGTAAGGTAACTATTTTGGAAGATTTCACATTCCTGAAAGTGTAGTTATACTACCTGTCCTGCCTGAGTGACAACTTAAAATTTTATCCATACTTTTTCCTTAGAATTTTTGAAGACATGTTTTATTTCTTTTTTTTTCAATCCTGTTGAGATAGTATCTGAAGCTTTTCTAATTTTTTTTTCCTCCCATACTGGGATTTGACCTCAGGGCCTGACCCCTGCTAAGCAGGCACTCTACCACCTGAGCCACTCCACCAGCCCTTTTTGTGGTGGGTTGTTTTGAGATAGGGTCTCACGAACTATTTGTGTGGGACTGGCTTCTAGCCACATTCCTCCTGACCTCTGCCTTCTGAGGAGCTAGAATTACAGGCGTGAGCCACTGGCACCCAGCACTAATTCTTTATCTTTTGTATGACCTGTTTTTTCTTTTTTTCTCTATTTTTTGGTGGGCCTGGGTTTTGAACTCAGGGCTTTATGCTTGTAAAGTAGACCCTCTACCACCTGAGCCATGCCTCCAGTTCATTTTTCTCTGGTTATTTTGGAGATGGGATCTCAGGAACTATTTGCTGGGCTGGCCTTGAACCACGATCCTTCAGATCTAAGCCTTTCAAGTAGCTAGGATGACAGGTATGAGCACCAGCACCAGGCTCCTGTTCACTTTTATTCATTATTCATGTGTTTCTTTCTGTTCCTTAGATTGGATTGTCTCAACTGACCTATCTTCAAACTGATCTGCCATTGTACCTCTAAAGAACTTTTCATTCAGTTATTTTAATTTTCAATTTCATATTATCTATGTGTTTCTTTTCTTTCTTTTTTTTTTTTTTTTTTTTAACAAACCTAAGTGGTTAAAATAAATTATGCAGCACCCTGAATGCTTTCCTGCTTGGATACTCTGTCAGGTATACTAGGTCTTCACTTTTGGGTTCTGCCTTCCAGTGAAGCCCTACAGCCAAGTTCTTTGCAGCTGTGTGACAGGAATGGGGCTTCTCAGGTAGCTTTAACTCTGCTGTGTGTACTTCAGGAACCTCCAATCCAGAGCTTCCATTTCCTGTTCTCAGGGGTTCTGTTAATATACCTCATGTTGATTCTTAGTCCCTGTGTCCATGTCTCCTCATCCCCCTCCATGTTTGACTTTCACTTAGGTTGTCACCTAGCACTAGTTCATTTGCTTTTCCTTCCAAAATTCTGTTGCCATCATCTCTTGTGTTTTATCTGACCTCATTTGTTTGCATGAAGACCGTTTATTTTTTGAACGTTAGTGGAATTTGGGAAGTGGGCAGCAAATTCTGATAATTCAACAGGTTTGAATATAGGAAATTAGGTGTGAACAAAATGGTAAAAATTGAAGCCTGGTAAATCTGCAGCTGTGAAAGATAGATTAAGCATATCAAGCCTCTTGACACCTACGAGGTTACCTGGAGGATAACAGGACACTGCCCATTTGAAAACCCATGCCTGAGCTTCCTAGCAGGACACAGCACAGTCTAAGTTTAAGTTCTGCTCTCCACACCTTGCTTGAATCTCTCAGGCTGCCAGGACTGAAATCCCTTTCAGCAACTACCTCTGTGAAAGGCTTTGGGATTCTTTCAGCTTTGCACACCAGTTTGAGGGTGAAATATAGCTGTTGAATGAGCCAGACCACAGTATCTTCATCCATATCCAAGAATGAGGAATAGGAGCACTCTTTCTTTGTTTTCCAATAACACTTTGAAAATTATTTTTCTACATGAATATCGAGGCATAACTTCACTTTTGACTTTTTATTTTTTAAATAAGATAAATGGTTGATGCTATTTTTAATTTGCAAAATAGTTAAAATGTTTTTAATTTTTAAAGTTGTGAAATATTTAAAATATTTAAATACATAAAAGTTCACAATGAGCACCTATGACCACCCAGTTTTAAAAATCTTTCTATTTTACTGCATTTGCATCCTCCTGTCCCTGTTAGAGACATTAGGTGTCCAGCTAGTGTCTTCGCTTCCCCTTTCCCTAGGGATACTCAGCCGGATTTGGTGTTTCATTATTTCTGCACATGTTTTCATATTACTTATGTACATATATTAACATTAACAGTATATAGTAATGTTTACATTTTTAAGGTTTATATAAAGCTATCATACTATATTCTGTAATACAGTATGTAATGTAATAAAAACTTCCATTTTTGCTTAAAATGTTTTTACCATTTAATTTGATACGTGAATTTTAGTTTCCTCATTTTAACTGCTATAGAATATAAAGTATTCCACTATAATAATAGATTAAAGTTTATTATTCTGTTTACCTGTTGGTGGACATTTAAACCACTAAATGTACTTTAGGAACATGCTTGTATATTTTTTGCCATTTTAATTAAATGATACTATTACACAACCATATAGCATTTTACATTGTTGAACTCTTTGTTCTTCTGATTCAGAAAAAATTATGTATGCTTTGTAATAAAGAAACATCCAGCTTAAGATGAAGAGAGGTCTTAAAGGTGTACTATCTGAATTTTATGTAAAAGGCCTGAATGTTGATAGGATGGCTTTGAGAAATGGAGTAATCCTTGCTCTCTTAGTCGTTCTCAAAAGGCAAGAAAGACAGTGAATCTTTCTGTTTCTGTTTGACAAGATATTTACTCTGTGTTCATCTGTGCTCTTACTGTTTCAGACAGAATGTTGTTACGGGATGTAAAAGCTCTTACCCTCCACTATGACCGATATACCACCTCCCGGAGGCTGGATCCAATCCCACAGTTGAAATGTGTTGGAGGCACTGCTGGTTGTGATTCTTATATTCCCAAAGTCATACAATGTCAGAACAAAGGCTGGGATGGTTATGATGTACAGGTAACATTCACTATATTGATGACATTTTTTTTTTTCTCAGTAACGGAGTTTGAACTCAACGCCTTGTGCTTGCTAGGCCAATGTTCTATCATTTGAGCCATACCCTTAGTCCTTGATGGCAGTTTAAGTGAAATGTTTACTCAAGAAACTGTTTATTGGGACATTAATATTTTGGAGAAGCATATACAGAAAATTTCAGGACAATGTAAATGTATAAACACATCAGTCACTTTTCTCCTAGGAGAAACATTCTTCAAAATAAATTGGTTTTAAAGGCCAGAAATAAATATTCTTTTTTAAAAATTTTATTCATATGTGCATACAATGTTTGGGTCATTTCTCCCCTGAAATAAATATTCTTTGTAAGTTTTATAATGTATCTTCCTTCTAAGGCTATCAAATTTTAAAAACTTTTTATATACTTGAGCATCTCTTCTGGTTGTTATTTTCCTGTCATTCCTCAAAGAACACCAACTCCCTTAAAGTTAAAATGATCAGGAGTCAGAGATTATAAATAGTGGGTGTACATGTGCCTCTATTGTACAAACATTTGATTTTACAATTGTTTTAGTACTGAGGGTGATTTTTTGTGAATAGAAGCATCTTTGTGGGCTTTATTTACTTATTGCTTTCGGGATGCTGGCATTTTGTATATAGGGCAGAGCATCTTCTTGAAATCTAAGACTTAACTGTGATTTAGAGATGGAATATATTTTATTAAAGGAATTGAGTTTAAATGACTGTGCATTCTTGTTTTGTAATCTCTACTTTTAGAAAGGACTTAAGATGCCTGGTCATGAGGCAAGAATCTTGTGTGGATGATTTCCCCCTCTGTTAGAATGATGTTTTTGTTTAATAAAAACCTTATATGGCCTGTGCAGCTGAGATAGAGTTCATGTTTTCTGGGTCATATTTATTTCACAGCATTTTTTTCAGTATTGTTAAATTGAATCATAGAATCTCCAAGTTAAAGCAGACATCTCACTTCCATTTTACTTCTAACTTACTTTTACAGTTTTGATGGAAAAAAGATAATAATGGTAATATCATTCCTTAAATATATATTAGATATGTTATGTACAAAATAAATGGGATAGAATCACGAGACTTCTTAGTAGAAGAGATAAAATAACTCAAATTACATATACATACAATAAAGTGTTGTAAAGTTGTATCCGATTGGGGAAGACTTAGAGTGGAAGAGGCGTGTATGCTATCAGGAAAGATCTAATATTTTTAGAGAGGAGAGAGAAGGGAATAGCACAAACAAGTATAGAGTGTATCATACATTGTCTTATGTGTAGTAGCAGCAGTTTAAATTTAAATAGAGTGCTTGGAAGCCACTTTTAGAATGTACTATTAAGGAAAGAACAGTTAATGTGAAATACAAATACAGACTTAACATGTTTTATTTATTTACATGAAACTTATAATCTTCCAAATAAAATTATTAAAAAATGGTACAGTAACATCACAACAATAAGAAAAAATTGCACATTACCAAATAAAAAAAATTTGGGGGCTTCAAAAGAACCATTAAGAAAGTAAAAAAATTGGACGCCAATGGCTCGTGCCTATAAACTTAGCTACTTGGGAAGCTGAGATTGGAAGGACAATAGTTCAAGGCCAGCCCAGGCAAAAAAGTTTAGGAGGTCCCTGCGTTGTAAGCTTGAAATCCTGAGTTCAAACCCCAACATTCCAAAAAAAAAAAAGTAAAGTAAAAAGACAGCCCACAGAATGGAGGAAGCTTTGCAAATCATATCTGATAAGGAACTTGAATCTAGAATATATAAAGAACTATTACAATTCAGTAAGCAAATTAAAAATGGGCAAAACATCTGAATAGTCACAAAGGCCCATGTATTGTATGATTTCATTTATATGAAATAGGGAAATATGTTCAGATAGAAAGTAATTTGGTAGAGAAGGTTGGGGGCGGGGAGAAATGGGCAATGATTGCTGGGGGGAGGTTGAGATTTCTCTTGGGGTAGTGAGAATATTTTAAAATGGACATTTTAAGTTGGTCATACAACTAGAGAAGCGTACTAAAAACCGTTGATGTGTGTAAATTGCTGTTATAAAAATAGCAAATCTAAATTTTGAGAAGGGAAGTTTAATATGTACAAAAACCTGACAGGCAGTAGAACCAATTAATTCTACTTAAGCTTATATATTTAAATATTGTTAAAGAAGCATGTTTTATCTATTCACCAAAACATAAAGAATTTAAGCTAAACCTGAGTTTATTATTATTTGGTGGTGTTGAAAATCAAACCCAAGGCCTTGTATATGTTCAGCGTACACTGTACCACTGAGCCCAGCTCCCAGTCCCCTTTCTCCCAGTTTTTGAGATCATCTTGCTATGTTGCCCAGGCTAGTGTAGAACTCACTAGGTAACCCCTGCTGGTCTTGAACTTGTGGTCCTCTTCAGCTCCCTGAGTGCTGGCATTGCAGGTGTTTACCACCATACCTAGCTCCCTTTTTATTTTTTGTGATACTGGGGGTTGAACTAGGGCTTTGCCCTTACTTGTAAGCAAGATACACGCCAAGTCCTCCCCACCCCACACCTTTGATGGGTCTGGGGTTTGAACTCAGGGCTTTGTGCTTTCAAAGCAGGCACTCACAAAGCAGGAGCTGTAACTCTTGAGCCATGCCTCCAGTTCATTTTGCTCTGTTATTTTGGGCGTAGGGTCTTTTGAACTATTTTCCCAGGCCGGCCTCAAACTGTGATCCTACCCATCTCAGCCTGCCAAGTAGCTGGAATTACAGGCATGAGCTACCAGCGTCCAGCCGCCGTATTTTTTTAAGGTGGAAATTTTTGAGGCTATTGTGATAATTTTTGCCCTTTTGTTAATATGTTGAAAAACAAAACGAAACACCTGAGAGGACTATGTAGATTGGACCCTGTAAAATTAGTTCATGGTTTACTAAAATTTGTCAGAAAATTTTGTTTCTCAGATGGTGATAAAATATATCTGATGGTATATGTAGTTGCCAGATGTTTATATATGATGCTGATTTTTGAACCTTAACATCTTTTAAAAAATTCTGTGTTTTTAAAGAAAACATCTTGAACAGCTGGCAAAAAGTTGACATTTTGAAAATTTGCTTAAAGTTTTTAATTGTGGAATACCTAATAGGTCCAAAAGAATATATAATCTGAGTGCTGGGCATGGTTACCACATCTATAATCCCAGCTACTTGGGAGGTAGAGATAGGAGGATCAAGCCCAGTTCAAGCAAAAAGTTAGCAAGATATTATCTCAAAGAATAAGCTTAATGTGGTGGTGGATTCCTGTAATTCCAGTTACACAAGTGTAGGTAGAGGATTGTGATCCGAGGTTGGCCTGGGCAAAGACCTTCTCTGAGAAATAACCATAGCAAAAAGGGCTGGGAGCATGGCTCAAGTGATAGAGTGCTTACCTAGCAAGTACAAGGCCCTGTGTTCAAACCCCAGAACCATATATATACATATGTATATATATGGAATAAAGAACAATAATAAAATAAACACTCATGTACTCACCCCCCCAGCTTAAGAGGTAGAAAAGTAATGTCAGCATTACCTTTGAATCTCCCAGTTTGCCTTCCCCCAACACATAAGTACTTATTTTCTTGAATTTTGTTGATCATTCTCTTGCTTCATTTTGCAGTTTTATGACAGGTGTATAGCCCAAGTAATATATGTTAAATAAAAAACCCTCTGGTTCTTATAACCTGTTTCTGTTTTTTTCCACAGTGGGAATGTAAGACTGATTTAGATGTTGCATACAAATTTGGAAAAACTGTGGTGAGTTGTGAAGGCTATGAGTCCTCTGAAGACCAGTATGTACTAAGAGGTTCCTGTGGCTTGGAGTATAACTTAGATTATACAGAACTTGGCCTGAAGAAATTGAAAGAATCTGGAAAACAACCTGGCTCCTCTTTCTCAGATTATTATTATAAGTTACACTCTGCAGATTCCTGTGGCCTTGGTGGATTGATTACCATCGGGGTGCTACTTACGATTGCCTTTGTAATTTATAAGTTGTTCCTCAGTGATGGTCAGTATTCTCCTCCACCATATTCAGAGTATCCTCCGTATTCCCAGCGTTACCAGAGGTTCAGCAGCTCAGCAGGCCCTGCTCCCCCAGGCTTCAAGTCTGAGTTCACAGGTAGGTTTTCTCCTCAATAGCTGTAAAAAGGGTGCATGTGAGGTAGTGAGTCTGTGCTTGTTTCTGAAACAGAGAACGATTGCACTGGGAAACTGGGAAAGTAGATTCGTCTTCTTATTTTATTTTTTACTTTGAATTCTTTTACCTTTCTTGTTCTGCTTTTCTGTAAGAGTAAGTTGTAATTACTATTTTAAAGTAAATTAAATTGTAAATCATCTGCATCAGGAGAATTTGATCAGATTTGGTAACAAGCATTTGCTTTGACTCCGTATCTCACACTATACACAAAGATTAACTCATTAAGTACTGTAGATCTCAGCATAAAAAGTTAAACAACTTACCAGAATAAAACATAGAATATTTGCCATGACTGTAGTTTAGGCAAATTAAGAACGTCTATTCACCAAAAGAGACTATTAAACTGGGCCCTGGTGGCTCGTGCTTGTAATCCTAGCTGCTCAGGACTCAGAGATCAGGAGGATCACAGTTCAAAGCCAGCGTCTCGAACAAATAGTTCCCAAGATCCTATCTTGAAAAAAACCTATCCCAAAACAGGGCTAGCACATGTTTAGCAAGCATGAGGCCCTGAGTTCAAACCCGAGTACTGCCAAAACCAAAAAAGAATATCAGCAATTGGCAAAGATAAAAGAGTGACTGGAACGTTCATACTTTGCTGCTAATTGAAATCTTAAGGTACTTTGGAAAACTCCATGTCTACTAAACAGATGCCTACCTACCCTATGAGTAGATTTCTTTCCCTAGCTATTTACCTGAAAGAAGAGAAGGTATGCAAAGAAACATGTACAAGAATGTTCCTAACAGTTTTACTCATAACAGCCAAAAATGGAATTATGAATACTACACAAATAGAAAAACTGGAAACTTGTTGATAAGTGTATCAGTAGGGTTGACTCTTGTAAGCATATTGCTGTGCCAGATACGAGAGTGTGTACTGTACAATGCTGTTTATAAAAAGTTCAGGAATGGACAGATGGTTAGAAAAGTCAGAGTAATGCTACCTCATATATTGGTGAGTTTGTTGGGGATTGTCAGTGAGCCTTCTAGGGGTGCTAAAATGGTTTATTAATGTGTGTGGTGGTTTCATGCATACATACATACAAATTATGCATACATACAAATTATTGTGCCATACATGTAAGATTAGCGTGCTTTCCTATGTGTATGTGATACATCAATTTTTAAAAAGTTCCTCTGAGCAAAAGTTGGGGTTTTTTGGGTCCTTTAAAGAGCTGATTGTCCAAGTGAAGCAAATACCTGGCTGCCTTCCTCCATTAGAGACTCAGGTACAGGTCTCATCTGGAGCTCTTAGAGATGCTCACAGTGCAGAAAGGAAGGAACTCTGAAAAGTGGGATCATTTCCTAGGAACTGATCTTGAATAGGGGAGATGTAATCTTACATAGGAAAACCCTTGCCCTGAGACCCAGAATATAGCCCTTCTCCTCATCTGTGGTAAATGTGTTTCTGGGTAATAAACTAATATTTCACAAATGTCCTTTTTGAATACAACTTGTTCATAAGTTGAGGCCTAAGTATTATTAATAAATAGTACTGGGTTGGTGGCGTGGGTCAAGTGGTAGAGTGCCTGCCTAGCAAGTACAAGGTCCTGAGTTCAAACCCCAGTATCTCAGGGGGAAAAAAGTACTATACAGGTGGAATAATTGAAATACCATGTTAGCTTTTGTCAGTTATGTTTAAGTAGGGATACTTAATCTAATGAATCATTTTTATTTTAAGGACCACAGAATACTGGCTACGGTGCAACTTCTGGTTTTGGGAGTGCTTTTGCAGGACAACAAGGATCTGAAAATTCAGGTCCAGGGTTCTGGACTGGCCTGGGAACAGGAGGAATACTAGGATATCTGTTTGGCAGCAATAGGTAGGTCTTGAATTGATTACATTTGCCCTCTGTTCAGCTTTTCCTTCCAGGCTTCTCTATTTTGCTTATAGTTTGACTGCATTTGGTTTTGTAAGGAAAATGAATCATGGTGACATTACTGTATTAAATCTGATTCTGTGAGGACAGGGAAGGCACACTATGTGCTGTCAGTATTGTTTACATCATTTTCCTTTGTTGTGTTCCTTCCTGTGTTAGCCTTACAGATATGATATAGGAAAAAGACTGCTTAGTCGATATCTGAGGAAATGAGAAGGCAGAAAAGCACAGAACATTGGGGAAAGGAACAGTTAGCAGTGTGCTTTGGTAGGAGAATGATAGAAGCAAACCTTGGAAAGAGCTTGGGGCCAGATTTTGGAATGTGTTGAATATTAATGGTGCTTTGATTTTCACTTTATTTCAGCGTGAATTCAGAAAGAAAACATGTACTTTGTCTCACTTCCTTCTCCCTTAGCAATGACTAATAGTAATGGTAAAAATATAAAATAATTTATTTCATGTTAATCCTGAGGTGCCAGAACATTTAGGACACAATACTTTATAAAGATGCTTTTTTTCTAATGGTTTAGGAGAAGGAAGGTAATTAAAAATTATCACAAGAAAGATGCCTAACCCACTTTTATGTCTTTAAAGAGCAGCAACACCTTTTTCAGACTCATGGTACTACCCATCTTATCCTCCTTCGTACTCCAGCACATGGAATAGTCGTGCTTACTCACCACTTCGTGGCAGCTCAGGGTGCTATTCAGCATGTTCAAACCCAGATACAAAAACCAGAACAGCATCAGGTAAGAGCAAAATGTAGATATTCCTGTTACGCAGTAGGAAAGTAGAGCAATAATACTACATGGTATGTACAGGAAAGTATAGAAAAACTGATATTACCTACTAAAATTGAACCTAAGCATATCTAGGACCCAGCACTTGTACTTTCACATCAAGGGGGATTGCTGGTTCCAGGACATCCCAGGGATCTAAAAATCTGTGGATGTTCAAGTTATTTATATAAAAATGGCATAGTCTTTACATATAACCTAGTAATTCTATAACTTTAACTTTGAATTATCTCCAGATTACTTACCATGCCTGGCATGGTTGTAATAACTACTGTTTAGGGAATAATGACAAGAAAAATGTCTGTAAGTGTTTAGTACAGGTGCAGTTTTTTCCCCCAAATACTTTCAAACCACAATTGGTTGAATCCATGGATGTGGAGAGCTAACGGTATACATCAGCAGAAATACATGTACTTGTACATTGACAGATAAGCACAAGAATGTTTACGTCATCCCTAGTACGTGGTGTGTGAGTGATGGGTGGGTGATGTCTTAGTAACACTGACATTGAAAGTCCTTGTCTCTCCACCCCCACTTCTGTTTACCACATAAGTTGTGAAAGGTTGTGGGGCCCAGCTTATGTTTAGTTGGTCTCTGCCTTTCTGGCTTAGACTTTAGTATTGGCTGTCACAGGTTAACCCACCACAGAGGTACATCTTTGGTTTCCTGACTAAAAGTTATCCATATCAAGTGTGTCGAGCTTATTAGGTTTGATGACTGGGAAGGTGCTTAATGTATTTTGAAAGCTAATACAGATTTTACTTTTTCATTCTAGGATATGGTGGTACTAGAAGACGATAAAGTAGAAAGTTGAAGTCAAACACTGGACATAAAATTTTTGATTTCTCATAACATTCTCTTTAAAAAAAAGTGCTATCTGCTAACAACTGGGGAAAGGGAATATCCAAAAGTTCTGTGATGTTTTGTCCTGTACAAATTGTATTAACTTGTGACTAAGAGTTGAAATGCAACAAAATGTTTATGTATTACATGTTAGTGTAATATGTGCATGTGTATTGAGGTTTTTGTAAGCGATGATTGCTGTGGAATGCTGAAAGTGTGTTGTTTATTTATGAAACATGTGATGCCATCGGAGGAATTAAGAATGAAGGCGTTATACCAATAGAAGCTGAGTACAGAAAATTTTGAGCTTAGGCAATGAGTCTTTACCTCACAGAAATACTATTCTGTTTGGCATTGTGCTATTTGGTGTTGCTGTTCTTGAGACATTTAAGCCAAGCGTTGGACACTAACAGTGCTAATTCGCGGGTTCTAGGGTTCCAGTCAGTCCTGTGCTCCAGAGCTTTGCATCCCCCTCCGGCGGTGAGCCTTACCTTTTATGGGAAAAGGTGTAAAATAAGCATCTGCACGGTTGTTGCGAATGTTGTTTGCTGACAGAAATGCTTGAAACCTCCATGTTTCTTCACTTCCCAAGAGGGAAAGTTCAAATGCCTCAACAAAGGTCTTTTAATAGCAAAAGCATGCAGTGCTCTGTGGAATTTCAAATGTTGTCATAGTCTGTTTCAGTCTTACAATAACACGACAATAAATAAAAACAAGAGGTGTTATTCTCATTCTTTCTGTTAGTCTCTGCTGGCATGAATTATTGTGATTTTTTAAAAAACTCTTTCGCCCAGAGGGACGGAGTTCACGAAGAAGTTGTTTCCCTGAATAAGAATCTCATATGGTAATCATAGGTGAGGTACCAGTCATTGGAACTGTCTTCAAAAAGTAACTTAGGGATGATCTGGAAGCCTCTGTTAAAAACTGCATTTAAAAATAACTGCATCTCCATATCCAGTTCTTCCAACCCATCACAGACCACCTGCATTGTAATCTGAGAGCTTCCTTTTACATTTTAGGAACCGATTTAAAACAAAATCCTTGTTGAGACCTTAAAATGTAACTTAGTGGGTAGTTGTCAAAGGTATTGTGAACAGAATCCTTTATCAGTAAAACTCATAGAAATTTTAATTTGTTTCACAGAAATGTGCTTTTTTTCCCCACTTTTGGTGCCCTTACCACATTTCTCCTTAGTAGAACGATATGGGAAAAAAGAGACTTCAGTTTGTTTCCTTTTTCTGTGTTTGTTTACTGTTTTTGGTTTTAGTTTATTATTTACTACAGGAGTTGATAGTCTTGAATCAAGTGTGCTTTCCTTGCAGAGTTAAGTTAAAAAAAAAATGTGTTAACTGAAAGCTTCTGTAGATTGGGCCCATGAAAGTGATCTGCATATTATATTTGATGGTCTCAAAATGGCTAGGCTAGCTTGTATTTCTGGACATACTATTGTAGGTCATTTGGGATCTTAAAAAATGAGTAAATATAAAGAGAGTGGACTGAATTGGTGACTTCTGACTGCTGGGGAGCTCTTGGGGTATACTTTTAGAGGACTCTTGGAGGGAAGGGAAGGAAAGAGGCAGGGGGCTCATTTTATCTGTTGCAGATAACATATCTGTTTTCTGCTATGCTTCTTTAGCATTTATGGAATGATTCTGAGAATCAGCACCTAAGACTTTTAAGAGGATAAAATACAGTACAGCTAAGTCTCATTAATTCCCAAATAAGGATTGCTGCCAGTGGACACTGGGGTACCTCAGTGGGAACTTGGTGTCCCTGGTTAGAAAGACATAAAAAGGAGAATGAAGAGGTGAAAGGGAACTGAACACAAGCTTTGTAGTTTGATTTGCATGGGAGTTAAGTAGGATCTTTTGGGTACTAGGATGAGGTTGCTGGTATTACATCCAGTTAGGGATATTCCTATTATTTCAAGCAGGCTTCTGTCTAAAACTTCTTATCTACTGCATTTTGAGCCCTATCCTTCAAGACTGGCTTAGGTTTACCTATTGTCCTTCAGCAACGTGCCATTCACACCATGGTGTTTAGTATACCACATTATAGGTTTCTTTTTTATCATGTTCTTAAACTTTATTTTTTTAATTGTCTTTTTTATTATCATGTTCTTATACTGGGGGTGCATTGTGACATTTACAAAAGTTTTTTCTTTTTTTTTTTGCAGAACCGGGCATTGAACTCAGGGCCTACACCTTGAGCCACTCCACCAGCCCTTTTATTTGTGATGGAGTTTTTGAAATAGAGTCTCATGGAACTATTTGCCCAGGCTGTCTGCCTCCTGAATAGCAAGGATTACAGGCCTGAGCCATTGGTGTCTAGCATAGAAGTTCTTATATCATAGCTGAATTCATCCCTCCATCATTCTTTATCTCCTCTCCCCCATTCCTGGAATAGTTTCCTCCCTCCCTCCCTCCTCCCATCTTTTAATTTATCCCTTCTTACCTCCCTTTCTTGTTCTCATCTTTATTTTATTTTTTTTGGTGGTGTTGGGGCTTGAATTCAGAGCCTCATGTTTGCTAGGTAGGTGCTCTACCACGTAAGCCACTCCACCAGTCCATTTTTTTTGTGTGCTGAGCATTTTCTAAATAGGGTCTTGTGAACTATTTGCCCAGACTGGCTTCAAACCACACTCTGCCTTCTGAGTAGCTAGCGGTACAGGCATAGCTACGAGTGCCTGGCTTTTATTTTGAAAGATATTCTCTCTCTTTAAAAAAT